GCGCAAAGCATGGTGATGCAAAGTAGCGCAAACGATGCTGCAGGGCGTTGAACTGACTACCAGGTAGTCAGTTCAACGCCCTGCAGCATTGCATTTATTTTTCATTCTACGATTTATTATGTTTAGTCGTGCAATTACTGCTTTTGAGTTTCCCAGCTTCGTTTCCTATATGAATAAATCGAGGTACTCGTAATTCACGGCATTTTTACCATAAAATAATTACTAGTATAGGAAGTATTATGAGGGTTATTAGCCTGAACCCTATATTATAGAATTCACCCATCCTAATACCCAACTCCTCTGCAAACTCATCGGCATAGTGCGCATTACAAATTGCGTTGGCAAAAAGGAGGTACCTTTAGTCACCTTTGGCCTACTTGACTCGACCTGTGTCCCTTACCACTGATGAGCGGGAAGACATCAAATTGTTGTGATCACACGTTCACGACAAAGGGTGTGCTCCCGATTGCACTACTCTCTCTACCAACAGAGGCCAGCGTCCGGGTCTTATTGTCCACCCGGCTCACGCTCCTCTATCTCCTCTATCACCGATAATGTACTCCAGAATGAGTCCGAACTGCCAAATAAATGGGTCCTCTCTCCCGGTAATCGTTTTTTCTTTGTCTGATATATTTATATGCATTCTGGAAAACACTTATTACGAAAAAAGACTTCCCTCCACTCTAGATTAAAACAAAATGCGCTGCTATCTAACGCTCTTAGCCAGAGGCCTTCCGGTCTGCGTTTTTCGTTAACACTTCCTTAAAATTCGCGGAAGGACTTGCTTCATATCGTTTAATTAGGCATCTGCCTGTTTTCTCTGATTTAGGCTGAACGTAGTTAAAAAATTAGATTGCAGCGATACGAAGGTGTAAGTCAGTAACACGAAGAATGTGTAGATGCACTCACGTCACCTTTTCCGTACATTTCACGCGTTGGTCCATTAATTAAAGGTACCTATTAGTTCAAAGTGGTCTTAGTCTGTTTCTTAGCTCCTTTATTTGGCCTGAAATTGTGTCTACACAGAGACTATTTTAACATTTAATTCTATGCATAACACTGTTAGAAGTTCATACTTTCACAATTTTTCATTTGTAATAGTACCAAATAAGAGATAAAATAAGAGATGAGGGAAATGACTTCATATTAAGCCGCAGTTAGTCTGTTGTAGAGCCGCCTGAAGTCGCACACCAACTTCTGCCTGCCTTAGGGACAAATGCATATAATGTATCGTCTCCCTGGACCCATTTTCACATTCTCTGGGTGTAGGAGGCTAACCAATACCGATGTTGACTGCGGTCTACCCGTTGCCACAGAGATCTTGAGGGCGAACTCGAAGGCGACCAACAAATAAAACACGGCCACCCGGTGGAAACCCTATAAGTGTTGTTTGTCAGAGGTATCTGAACGATCTTCTTACTTCAAAGTCAGCATTGGAAAGCACAGGCTTTACTGGCAGATCAGCATGACGCGGTTTTAACGCTGTATTTAAGAAAGGCAACCTCTTAATGTATATGACATATTGTTGTGATACCCAAATTTAGCAAAGCACAGACAAATCTGAGGCAGTTTAAATTTATTTTGAGACAAAGATGTATTAAATGCAAATACTAACTTAGTTAAACCGGAAACCGTTATTTCTGTTATTCAGACTCTTCTTAGGGGATTTTACCGCTACGTTTGACAGTCTTTGACCATGCTCTGCTGTCATTTAGGCGGTAAGATGATATGCCGCCGAAATTACTAGTGTGGCCGTTAGTTTAATACCGTAAAACAGGTAACGAAGTATGCGTGAATAGAAAGAGCCGAGACTTATTTGATTCACCTCTTCACGATTGCATGATTATTTATTATGTTGCGTGGACGCTCACTGATAAGACCTGTCTATAATAATAAAGCATTTATTTGGCTGCTGGGGGTCTCACGCGCGAGCCCGAAGGCACAATTGAACGAGTGGGTTCCGTAACTGATCGGTGAACGTCCATCTACCATTTCTTATATTTCCAATCGAACGCGGCAGGACAACGATTCCCTGGCGGAGTGGTTGAACTTCTATCCGACAGGTCGCGGACTCGAGCCTTGAGTGCCACAACACCTGATTTTAAGAACAGCTAGCTGATGACTGCTAATAAGTCCGAAACCGTATTTCAAATCGCCTTTTCTTGGTCGGAAATTTGGTTCGCCTATAGCGATTATTTATTTCCAACCTCTTAACCGTGAGAGTTCCTAAGTAAGCGCTGGCAGACCACTTCG